GCAAAGAATTTTTTTATTTAAAGCAACCAAATCTTTGTGAAACAATTTATAATGAAATCTACGCAATGTATTTAGGTTTTTCAAAATTGTGACGGCAAATTTTCTCTTTTATTGAACAAAACTTTCTAACCGATGTTCAAGTATACTAGTCTGCATGAAGATTGGGTTACACAAGTGACAGTGGCCCACCTAGTAAAAGAAAGATCGCTGGACTGGAGTAATGATGTCAAACTCACAAACGGGAGCATCATAAAACATCTCGACGCTGGAGAGTTATATCGATATCTTGGACAGGCACAAACTTTTTACAGGATGTGTTTGTTATCAAAGATACTCTTCGCAGATAGTATAAGTGCCGGCTTATAAGAATATGGAGTCTAAATTATCAGGCTCCAACAAAATCATCATGAAGTCATTACCCGCTATCTTTTGTCCAACGCCTATACCTCCCTCGTGATCTGGAAGGGCGTGGACTGCTAACTCTAGAGTGTCTACGCGATAGGAAAGTGATAGGCCTGGTTTATGACATCTTGCAGCTCGTATGCAGGAAGCGGTCATCGAAAAGCGGTGGTTGTAGGCAACTCTTTGTTTATAGTCCAGTCATATTAAATTTTAAATCGGGAAATCTTGAAATGGATAAAATTTTAATAGAATATATTGTAGGGGATGTAGAATTAGTTTCCCCTGAAAAAAGTGAGCTCCGACACTGGGCAAGGGTTGAAATCACCCTTTAAACGCTTTTTTATGCATTTTTTCACGTTTGTTCTCATTTTTTTCGAGAACTATAATAAATATGAAAAAATGTTTTAAATAAATGTTGTAGCGGCTACGTTTTTACATAAAAAAGTCCGCATCTTCGTAACCTTACCTGTAACAGGTAAAAAGTTATCAACCTCTAAAGGTTGGTAAAATTAAAACCGGTGAAAATATTGAACACCCTTGGCGTACGATACTGGTGTGAGAGAGACAGAGCGTTTGCGCTTGTTACTCTCATTGCATGTTTTCGGGCCTAAACGCACGCATGTTAAACTCCGCCCTTTGAGGAAACAAGAAGAGAAGATACATAGAGTCAATGAGTTAGAAAAAAAGAGCCTTATTGACTGATTTTGGGCTTCTCCGGAAATATCTGACGCACAAGGTCAGTGTTTTCCTTTTCAATACAATTAACATAGAAAATTCTGTTTCAATGAATAATTAAAAAATAAAATAATTTTTAATATTTAATTGAATTTTATTTTTAAAATAATTTTCTATGTTAATATTGTTTTGTCCCGAATTTTGACATATATCCACGTTTTAAGGTCCCTAGAGTCGAATACGACCGTTTTCCAGTAGACGTTTGTGTGTGTGTATGTACGTATGTGCGTTCGGAATTATTTTGCGCCTCGATTATCTCGAGAACAAAAAATGATATCGACGTGGAACCAACTGCATTCGACACGTAATTGCGCAATTTAGAACTGATTAGGTGATGATAACGATATTTCATAGAGAAAAATTTTTTTAAAAAACAGAATCAGCAGTAAAAAATTTTTAAAATTGTGTTGGGATGGTAAAAATACCATTGATATGGTGAAACGATGGATTGCAGGTTTCATGATATGTTGGATGTTGTCCTTTTCCTCCCTTTCCACGTCTAGTCATAATAAATTAATAAAAGTTATGTTGGTAGTAACCTCAAAACAAGACAGAGAGACTAGTACTGATGGTTGTTGAATAATTCACGAAGAGAATAAAGAGTGTGATGATGTCAGAGTCTTGGTCTGTTATCAATATTATTTAGTCACTTTAGAGTATCATTAGAGAAATTGTAATAATTTAGCGTATCTCTTTTATAATTCGCATTCACTTCATGTCTTTATATTGTTCTTGATAATTCGAAGAAACTTACACTTCATTTAGAAGTGTTCTAGAAGCAAGTATTATACTGTATAACATTGCTGACGAGATGGAATTGACGTTGACTCATCGATATGCGTGAAGGAGTTCTCGATTAGTTAAGTACCGTTTTTCGACATTTATTTCTATTTTGAAATAAGATTTATCAAAATAAAACGACAATAGCAGTACATCAATAGATATTTCCCAATCCGAATAAAGAAAAAAGAGATGTAATTTTTCAAAGAAATCTGTTGACAACGTATATTCACAACCGTTCTTCAATGTTCTTTTGTGGCAGTGCTGGTGCTTAGTCGATGATTAAATAAACCTATAACAAAAATACGAAAAAAAAAAAAGTATGATGTATTTTGGACAAATTACTGAAAAATTTACGTTTTTCCAGTCATTCCAGTATTCCAGTTTAGATAGTGTACAGTAGTAACTAGTGATTAGTAACGAGTAACTTTCAATTTATTCTAAAATAGGCATTTATTCATTATTGATTTAAGGCCGTAAGAGCAGCTGTGAAGTAGTGTGCCTTTCTTGCTACTATCTTGTGACACTATACTATTATTGTGTCATGGTTGTCTAGAATAATAACCAAAAACTAGTAGTGAATAGTAACTAGTGTAAAGTAGTGAATGATCAGTGATTACAATCATACTGTGAGTGGATTATCATTGAATACTATTAATGAATTATTTTTCATATCCATGATTTGGAAACGGTAGTGATTTTTTATTCAGCAGCATTTGAACTATATGATCACGCATAATTTGTACATTATATGGCATTTGGTTCTCTGGTTTTTTTTTATAACACAATAATGTTGCAAAATAGATTGCGAATGCTCCACAATCTATAGTATTATTTTGTTCTTGTACTTAGTAAATCTGTACAGGGTATTTAAGTAATCGGTTTGATCTTTTTCCAAGGAATTCTTATTTAAACTGTCGTAGATGTAAACGTTGCCATTACCGTCATATTTTGTACAAATCTAGTGATCTACAATGTTGACACCAATATTACCGCTATAACTAATCTGAATATTATTTTCAGATCTAGGTATTGCTTGTAAATTATATAAAAATGCACCTATGTATCCTACATCTTGTGCGAAATTATACACTCCGTGGGCAGTTAGTTTTCTATTCATTATTTCATAAAATAAATTGATATGTCTATCAGATAAATAGGATCTACAATGAGACACTTCTTGACATTCTGCGATTGGAATATCAAAATCATATGGTACGTTATTATCATCTATATTGTCATAGATATTCTCAATATCATTTGGTACAATAGAATCATTGCTAATTATGCTTTTAGTTTGCTTATCATCTATATCATCATGATCAATATCCATTAGGAACGGATCATCGATATTTTTATTTTTACATTCCATGCGAATACCGTTACTGATTGTCATTTCACTATAATTGTCATTTGTAATTGTGCTACTTACATTAGTGATGTTAGGATTGTCAGTGGCATGCACGATAATATTATCATTATAAACAGCATATATTGGTTTATGATAGGTAAAATATGATTCAAATACACCACATTGTAAGTTATGAATATTAGAAAAAATGACATCAATTTGTGTATTCAATGACGTAGTAATACTATCTGGTGGCAAATTCGATAATAATTGATATCGTTCTAAACAATTATCAGGAAATTATTTTGTTGTTATTATAATTAATGATGTCATAATTGAAATCTCCCATTAATAGGATAAGACTTCTGGAAGGCAATTTTTGTAAAATGTAATCGATTGTTTCTTTGAACATAATTGTTGTTGCTTTAGGTGATTCGTAGCCACTAATCAAATACCAATTTCCGGCTTTTACTGCAAATAATTGCACATGTCCCTCACTGCTATAAGTATGTTTTGATGATAATACTGTGAACTGTACATTCTTCACATCGCATATTAGTCCATGATTATTTTTATCACGATCGATTCTTAGAACAATATTAAAATTTTCAATATCAACTACATCGCTTTGCACAGTCAAAGAATCGCTGAATACTAAGATATCCGCTCGCAAATACCATGTATCAGAAATTATATAACTTAGGTTCTTCCGTAATGTACCAACATTTTGATACACTATTTTTGTTCCTATGACAGTCTCTAAGTTATTCTATAACAGTTTCAATAATTTTTTAGATCTCAGACGTTCTAATTCAATAAGCGCTGAATTTACAGCCTTTGAATTTGTAGAAACATTTGGTAATTTGAATTTACCAATTATAAATAGTCCACTTAATTTGGTGACACGGTTGAGGGCAACATATAACATCGATAAAGTTCGCCTCTCTTGAGCAGTAAAATCTAGACATATTTTGTCATATGTTTGACCTTGACTTTTATGAATAGTTATTGCCTCTGCAGGTATAATAGGAAATTGATTTTTCAAATTTTGTATTTATCATCTTGTGCCACACTAGTTTAAATCGATATACTTTCTATTGGTGTTACAACATTATCTATGTTATTCTTTGTCATATAATCACGACAACGAGCTCCTATGTTGATTCGAACTCTTGGTGTATGAAAATCTAACTATAGTGTAGATGGTATGTTAGCATCTTTACATTCGATATATTTTAACAAGCACCATTTACTAGACCGTCTTCTACATCGATATTCTTAATTATCATATATTTATGGTAACTTTTAATCGAATAACGGGCAATTAAATTGCAATATTATTTGCTTCTTTACTTATTGATCGTAATATAATTTGTTTTTCACCTTCGGTTATGTCTTTAGAGAAAACAACTTGAGCAGTTGAAGTAAATAACTTACATTGACATTGAGAAATTCTCTGAGCATTATAAGATGATGCATTCTTATTAGTAGCGTACAAGCGTATGGCCGTTTCTGGAATATCGTTAATATTTTTAATTTCTGGAGATTTAATTAAATCTATGTCATCAGTTTTCATAATTCCAAGAGCTAGATTATTTGGAGCATTGATAAATGCTAGATCATTTTTTTGACGCATAATTTCTGTTAGTTCATAAAAGTCAAATTGATCCCATAAAGGATTAATATCAATAAGTGGCGCCATTTGATTTTGATTTGAAACTTGATAAACAAGTTAATTTTTTACAGGAGGCAATTGATTTAAGTCTCCGACTGCAAGTACTGATATACTACCAAATGGCTCATTAACACCAGTTATTTGCCTTAATCTTGTATTTACATAACCTAGTACGGTAGAGCCTACCATTGAAATTTCATCTATAATGACGAGTTGCACCTGACATAATTGTTTTCGTATATTGTTGGCTAAATCACTTGATAGTTCTGGTATATTAACAACATATAAATTGCATGGTGATGCAAATGCAGAATGTAATGTTACACCATTTATCAGAAAAGCAGCTTTACCAGATGGAGTGCATAATAGTACAATTATTTTATCATTATTTTCATCTAGCAAATTATCAAAATAATTTGTATTAATTGATATAATGTATTTATAACCGTACTTTTACCGACACCAGCTGATCCACTTGGAAATATTTGGAATGAAGTTTTACCTATCGTGTAATAATGTAAGATATGCATTACCACTTCTTTTTTGTTTCGTATTTAGATTTTTCATCATATTGTAAAGGTTTTCTGTAGGTACTCGAGAGGGCATTGTATATCGTACTGTTTCATTTAAATTATTGACTGCGTTTTGATTTACTTTTTTCATCACCAGCTTGTTGGAAAATATCAATTCGTTGATCATTAGACAGTTCATAACCATCATTATTTTCGCCAACATCATCTTCTTTGTCACAATTATCTTTGTTCAATTCTTCCAATTCTTCATCAATTATTTCATCAGGAATAATAGAGAACATCGCCTGATTAGCGGTTATAATCTATATATTATTATTATTATACACTGTTTTATAATGAATATCTTCAATTTCTAGTTTTTCATTTCTCTATAGCATGAACGATAATATTTGTTCATGATAATAATTGCCGGGATCTTGCTTTAACTTATATCTTCGATATCTGATAATAGCTTATACCTGTCGTTTTTTATCGACACCACTGATTTTGGTATCACTGTTTGATCCCTCTTCATTTTTAGTGTTATTATAGTTCGCCGCATAGTCCGCTAAGAAAATTTCATCCAGGTTACGGTTTCTTTTACTATATTTTTCGAAAATATCGGCCATATTGATTTCAGTTGATTCTTTATTTGAAGATTTCAATGTATTTTCTGATTTCGACATCAAAACTCGTTCATTTATAGGACTTGTATTTATAAATACTGCTTTACGACTTTTCTTCGATAATGACAACGATAATACATGATAAGCAGCTTCTTGTGCCGACATTATATTACTATTTAGAAATATACTTGCAAGTGTGCGAAGTTATTCTTTTATGCTTTTATTATTAACGTCACAGTCTTTAGCAGCTTCTCTTAATAATTCAAATAAGCCACCATCAACTTTGCTAATATAATTCGTAACATACCTTATTACAGCATATTCATCGAGTATGAATTGCAAATCAATATTTGATTCAAATAATTGTAAAATATCTTTATTATAACCATTAATGCGTACTTCGTCGCTCGTTCTTTTCAAAAAAATATGTCTCTGCTTGAGAGTACTGCGTACAGCACGAATATACTCTTCGTCAATCATTTTTAGTTCCTTTAAAATATCATCATACTCAACTAACTGACTTTTAGCATAAAATTTGCGCATTAATTCATCAACAGCTTTGTACGATTTAGGTGCAACTTCACCTTCATCAAGTGACTCTAATATCATTGTTTTCTTCATTACTGAATATGGTATGTAGAATCGGCATTTTTTATCTCGCTTACCTTTATAACAAGTGTGCGAATGTTTATGAATTTGAAACTTAATATAGGGATTGTTTGATCATTTTCATATGTGACAAACTTATCGATAAAATTAATAACTTCATAATTATTACATTCGTTTTCCAGAAATTTCAGTGCATCTTTTAACCACAATAGCATATGTTCATGTGGACTCCCACGTTGCTGAAATTCCACACGTTCATAGCTATCTTTAAGTATATAAGTACCGAATATACTATTTTTTTGTCTCAATAACCACATAAATTTGCTTATTTTATAATAGAAGTATCTAGCACAAGTGCAGGATCATTTCTTATCAAAGCGGTTTTAGTATTGTTATCTAATTCGTAAGCTTTTTTTATATTTAATACGTGACCGTCTGAACTAAAATTTCAATATAGTTGACGAATAAATAGTTCTTTCTTCTTAGCTTCCCAAAGAGCAGGAGACGAACAAATGTATTCGAACATTCTGAAGCCATCATCAAATTTAACAATTTCATCTATAGTATCTGGATTTAAGACATCTTCAGCATTCAAATTTTTTATTCATATTTCTCGTTGTTTTTCTTGAACATATATTAATGCTTGATAAACAGTTCTTTTCTAAATTTTTTTTAGCCATAAATAGGACCCGTAAAAGTATGCACGATCGACGATCGTAACGTCTTACTTCTGACTTGATTCGATCCATGTAAGTTATAATTTTTGGAAAATTCATTGAATAACCTCTTAATATTTTTGGAAAGCATAATTCATTTAAATCTACAACATTATGCCACGGCATTGGCCGTTTATTTTGACCAGGTGCAATTACGTTTACCACTGGTCCACGACTCTCTGTAATGTTTGTGTTATTGTCGATTAATAGAACTTCATCATTATTAATTTGGTGCATATTAATGTTATTTGTATTATTTTTCTCATCATTATTGTTGTTATTGTTATTTTTCGTTACTAATTTAGATTCAATATCGTTGAAATCTTTTTCGTCGATAATAAAATAAATTTTGTTGCAAAGATTCATATTTTCATAACGCTCGAAGTATTTATTGTCTACCTTACTGTCCTATTTTTTATATAACCGTGTATTAATAAGGTGTTTGAGTGCCTTGCACACCATTCTAGGTCTAATTGTTTCGAACATATAATGGCTTTTATGAAGAACATGACGTTTTAATTTTACTTGAATTGTTTCCATGTCGTTGAAATTACGTGGTAATACTTGCAGCATATCATTTACATCAATGAGGATATTTACTACACTTCCCTTCAATCCTAATTGTGGATTTAAGGCATACGGCTTCAAAGCACGGATTTGCATGAAGCTCAATACTGGTAACACCATTCTTTCTTCAAGATCAGAAAGTTCTTGGATAGTTCCTGGTATATTCACGAATTTTAACTCATTACTTGTAGATAATTTATGGATTTTACCACTATATGCTGAGTTTTTACATGTATTGCATATATAATCAGGAGGATAATTTGTTACTTTTATTAAAAACTCAGTTCCACTTTTGTTTATGATCTTTTGCTTATTCAATTGAACAACAGAATGCTTGAAAAATATACCTTCACAGCAACAACATATTACTGATGGTGTTTCTTTTCTCAATTGAATAAACTGCAGTTTTAATCCGGCCAATGAATCATTGTGTTCATTTTTTAATAAACTATTGTACATGTTATCACGAAAGACGAGAACATCGTTAGCTCTCATGTCTTTTTTATTTTTCGCATCGATACACTTTTCGCGATTTCGATAATTAGCATTACTCAATCGATATTTTCTCATTTTCTTCTTATTTTTTATTTTTTTATTTCGTTTGTATAAACGGCAATGCCAAAGTAATCGCATTCTTCCACGATTTGTATTATTTTTCACGTGTTTTATATGTAATTTCTCTTTGTGACATTTTCTTTTGTTGAATAAAGGTTTTAATTACTTTAAGGATATCGTAATAATATCACTTCGAATGTTTCATACTGGATATCATTCTTGATCTTCTGGAGAGTTGAGAAACTATGGATCGTTGAATCGCTTTTAGTTTTGTTTATATCTTTGAAATGTTATCTTTAATAAGTTGCAGTTTACGACGTAACATCCGAACTTTTGAATCAAGTCGATTTTTTTTTAGTAATTCTTAATTGTTCGCTTCGTCTCAACAATTGTATCCGACGACGATTTCGGGAATTTTCATTCGAATGAAAAGTACGATTTTTTCGTAAATTTCGAATTCGCAGATTCGTATCGATACTCTCGTTTTTTCTGTAAGTTTCATTAATCCGCAATTTCTTTATTCGTCGACAATTTCTCAGATTCTCAAATGCTTTGAAATCTTCGTCACTTCGAAAGGACGATATACGTTTTTGAGTTCCAATATTTTTGAGTGCTCTATAATTATCATCTAGACGTTATTGAGACACTCGTTGTTTAATTTTTCGATTCTCAGAGGACCTGAAATCTTCGTCACTTCGCAATAATGCTATTCCCTGTTGCGTTTTTATATTTTCAATGTGTCGGTATTGCGAATTTCTTTGTAATGTTCGCATTCTTAACATTGCTTTTTTATTCTCTACGCTCAGAGAATTTGCGTTTGTTTGCAATTCGCGTATAATTTTTTGTTTTTCTTCGTATTTTGTTGATTTGGTTTACATGGTGAAACACGATTTTGAACTTCACCTTGTCTTTTACGATAATTTCGTTTTTTCTTTTCATTTTTAGTTTTTTTTGACTGCTTTTTTGTTTTTCATTTGGAAAGCAGTACTTTTTTGCTATTTATTAATATCCGATTGCTTATAGCAGACGGAAATTAGATTTATTTGAAAAATTATTTACTAAAATCCAATCGCTTACAGCAGACGGAAATTAGATTAATTTAAAAAAATTATCTACTAAAATCCAATCGCTTATAGTAGACGGAAATTAGATTATTTTAAAAAAATTATCTACTAAAATCCAATCGCTTGCCGTAGTAGCCAAACCAACGTAAGACTTGCATCAGATCTGGATATTTTCTCCTACGTTGGTCATTTACGTATGTTTCTGCCGCTTCTCTGAAGCAAATGGACGTAAGATTATCGTCAGAAATTAATGGCAATCTGATGCAGAACGAAAGACGTACGTAAGTCTGACGAAAATTCTGACGTCAGAACTGGTTACTTGGGTAAAGCAGACGGAAATTAGAATTTTTCAGCGTGGATCGCCGATAAATATTTGATTAACTACTCTTTCATACTACACAACAACACAAATGGTATTACGCTATAAACAATTCTTATAATCTACGATGAATTAATAAACATACAGATGATATCGAGATTTACGATGAATCAGTAATACAGTACAATGTTTATTATTAGTTACAAAAATATTAATGTTCACTTACCTTTTTAAGTAACCCTCGACACACAATAACGTACACTATGTTATTGTACTATTTTTAAAAGTAATACACGTTATAACAGAGAAATAATAATTTTTCTTATACCGGAAATATTCTATGCGAAACTAATACCTTTCACACATTAATCTATTACTATGATCACGTTGTTTTGGTTGAATTCCATAGGGTATAAGACTAGTAAATAAAGGGCATCGATCTGTCTTATTCTTATCTACAATGTTTTTGACACTTTCTTTATTCAATCCATTGATAGGAAAATAGAGTTCAGCGACATTCAAAATTGCAATGATAAATCACTTTGATGATTGGAACCGTCTTTACCACCTCGGTTAATTAATCGACCTACACTTTTAGAGATTTTTGTATTTACAATGATAGTTAAATCAATATCTGTTACATTTAAATGTTATCAACAGACTGTACTTGCATATTGATGCAATCGATCGATAATCATCGATTATTGTTCATTTACTGGCCGTATGGCAGCGCCACTTATCAATTCTCCCGCCAATACTATAACACGTATCGATTGAATTGATCATTTTTTTACAATATAATTATCATGATATCGAAGGTTAGTTAATCAAACTTATGTGCACTTTGACCTAGATGGCATATAGATGCATTGTAAGTAACTTTTATAGAAATTTGAGACCACGTGTTCATTAATATTTTCATTAAAGCACGTGTAGTCTCCAATTCGTAAGTAGTATATATTTTTATTTTATTATTAGTTAATAATGAATGATAATGCATGTAGAAAAAATCGTTATTTATTAATTTTTATTCAATTCCATGACGTTCACATATAGATTAACCATAAACTATAATTATTTAAGGTCTAAGTCAATCATCTCTAAAAGTGTACACACGTGTTACACTTTTGGGCATGATTGACTTAAACCTGAAATACTTACATTTTATCATTAATTTATATCTTAATGACATAAAATTGAGTAATCATCTATTTTTATTTTTATTTTTTAAATAATTTTGAATTTTATATTTCAGATTTGACTAGTTGAAAATGGATTCTCAAAGTAAGTAATGATTTATTCTTATGCATGCATAATAAATTGTTACTTAGTTTG